GAACGTAGCCAAAGCTTCATTGTACACTGTGCGACAACGATTCGTTCCGTGGTCCCTCTCGCGAGGCAAGGGGAGCGTAGCCTCTAACCAATCAGCCATTGCCACGCTGCCAGCTGATTGGTCACTTCTACGCTCCCCTTGCCCCGCGAGAGAGTGACCACGGAACGAATCGTTGTCGCGCAGTGTACGTAATCACATAAGAAGAATTTACACGTTCAGTTTTCAACGCACGACGTCCAATACTTTTCTATAGAATCGGCGTCATAGATCGAAATACATCGAATCTAGGCATAATATATCCTACATAACAACGGACTCTTTTTGCCACGCGTTAATATTCACGTGATTTCTTAATTAATTTCTCATTAATTATTGCGAAAATCGATAGAAGACTTTTCTACTCAATTTAATCCATTCTATCTGCGCATGAGAGATGATACTGAGATCGCAAACTCTGTGTATGCTACCCAGTCAGCAAAGTCTGTTCAAACAGATTTTGTCAATTTTTGCTACAAATTTTTGTCGACAATGAGATTGCAGATTGTATAAAAAATTTGTTATATCAAATAATGATAACAAAACGTCAGCAGAAATGTTATAAAACCTGCTGACATAATTTGATAGCAGAAACTGAACAGAATTTGTTTAAAATTATCATAGCAAATTGGTTGCAGAAATCGAGCAAAATCTGAGTAATGCAATTTGATGTCAAATTGTTGGCAGAAACCATAGACCTTACAGATATGGACTGGCAATTGCCTATAGTTTCTGTAGAGAAGCAGTGTCCGGAGGAGGTTAGAGAGAGAAACATACTTTTTAGTACTTCTCTTTCTACAAGTGTCCGGAAATATGCATTGCGCATGTCAGTTTTAAATAAGCTAGATTAAGTTTATAATATGATTTATCAAGAAATAAATTATTTGAAACAGTCAAACATTGTTTTTGTATACTAAAATAATAAATATATATTATTGAAGCAAAATTTTTTGGAAAAGTGGTTTTTCTAAACATTATTAATAACATTTTTTAATAAGATATAGAACATAACTTTTCTGTAGCGATTAAAATTGCATATTACATTTTTTTCGTCTTTATATTATATTTATTATATCTTATATTACCTTTTTAGATACTTTTTTCTTTTTCCAAGAAATAATAATGGAATTGCATTTGGTTGTAAAATTTTTCGAGATCTATTAGTCCATTGCAAATGAGATGAACTGAAGTGACGTGAACATACTTTGCTTTCTTTCGTGATTTCACTTATATTGCACACATCCATCCATAATTTTTTATATTTTTCATTTGTTGGAAAACTGAAATTTTTGATGTTTTTCTTTCTTGTACTGTTTATAGAATGTCACTTTATGACATTACGATTTGTTTCATTAATACTTACGAGTAAAAAGAAACACTATTTTTTGATGAATACGTTATATCACAAACAATACATCTTCGAACCATTATTGTTAATCTTTATTAAAATAATTAAATTAATATTAAATACAGAGACTTTCTGAGACTTCAGAGACACAACCTCAATATTATGTTCTCTCTGCAATAATACATATACACATACACATATACATCAATCAGAATGTTTTATTGTATAGTATATGTCAGGTGCATGCGCAAAACGTATTTCCGGACACTTGTAGAAAGAGAAGTACCAAAAAGATGTTTCTCTCTCTAACCTCCTCCGGACACAGTCTGATACGTATTGCCAGTCCATACTTATAAGGTCTATGGCAGAAACCGAACAGAAGCTGTATAAAATTATTATAGAAGATTGGTGGCAAAAATAGAGCAGGACTTGTACAAAACAGTTTGTTGTCGGATTGATTGCAGAAATTGAGCAGAATCTGCGTAATGAAATTTGATATTAAATTCTCGGTAGATATCAAATAGGACGAGATTCGATTACCCACGTCGCCAATTGGCCAATTCAAAATAGGACTCTCTGATTGGTTAATCGTTGCTGGTTACCTTAGGCACAGGTCGATATGATTGACTGTGGTCGGGACGTGGGTAAACGGGACGCTCCCTATCGAGTAAAGCCTCCTGATATAACTGACAACAGATTGATGGCAGAAATTGAATAAGATCTGTGCGACGCAATTTGACAACAGATTGTTGGCAGAAACCGAGCCACAACAAAACACCATTTGCGGGAAGTTTTACTTTTCCTGTTTAATTCAAAGAAAAGTGCTGTTGAAAGTCATCGAGTGCTGTTGGAAACTTATGGTGAACACATAGACCTTACAGATATGGACTGGCAATTGCCTATAGTTTCTGTAGAGAAGCAGTGTCCGGAGGAGGTTAGAGAGAGAAACATACTTTTTAGTACTTCTCTTTCTACAAGTGTCCGAAAGTATGCATTGCACTTGTAGAAAGAGAAGTACCAAAAAGTATGTTTCTCTCTCTAACCTCCTCCGGACACAGTCTGATACGTATTGCCAGTCCATACTTATAAGGTTTATGGGTGAACATACTCCATCGATAAAAACGTGTGAGTATTGATTTCGACGTTTTAGAAGTGGTAATTTCGATACAGTTGACAAAGAACGCCCTGGTCAATCAAAAAAGTTCGAAGATGAGAAATTGGAAGCATTACTCGACCAAGATGTCAAACGCAAGATGAACTTGCTGAATCGTTGAATGTTGATCGCACAACAGTTTCCAAACGTTTAAATGCACTCGGTATGATTCAAAAGCAAAGAAATTGGGTGCCATACGAATTGAAGCCAAGAGATGTTGAACGGCGATTTTTCATGCGAACAATTGCTTCAACAAAAAAGAAAGGGTTTTTTGCATCGTATCATCACTGGCGATGAAAAATGGATATGCTACGATAATCCTAAGCGTAGAAAATCGTGGGATTTGCCTGGTCATGCATCAACATCGACGGCAAGGCCGAATATTTATAGTTCGAAGCTCATGTATTTGGTGGGACCAGCTTAGTGATGTGTACTATGAGCTGCTTCAACCGAATGAAACCATCACTGGTGAACGCTACCGAACACAATTGATGCGTTTGAGCCGTGCATTGAAGGAAAAACGGCCGCAATTCGAGCAAAGGCACGATAAAGTAATTTTTCAACATGACAACGCTGGATCACATGTTGCTCATGTAGTCAAAAAATACTTAGAAACGCTGAAATGGGATGTTTTATCCCACCCGCCATATTCACCAGATATTGCTCCATCGGATTACTACTTGTTCCAATCCATGGAATACGGCCTGGCTAAGCAGCGCTTCCAATCTTATGAAGATACGAAAAATTGGATCGATTGGTGGATAGCATCAAAAGATGAGTTGTTCTTTCGACGCGGAATCCGTATGCTGCCAGAAAGATGGGAAAAAGTAGTGACTAGCGATGGACAATACTTTGAAAAATAATAATGCACTAAAAATACACAATTTTTCACAATAAAGCCTTGAATTTACAAAAAACATCCCCCAAAATTAATTCACAATCCTAGTATATAAAGTTGTGAACATGAATAAAAGACTAAAAATATAGTAATTATCATTTTAATTTCTATCACTTTAATTTCTGATATTTGATATACGCAGATGAGATTCAGAATATTAAACTGATTGGAATCAATATGATAAATGGAAAATTATTCATGTACTGCCTATTTGAGGCATAAAGCAAGAATTTAATTCTAAATAAATTACATCTCAAGTTTTACAAGTTACATTTACTTTTATTATTTACTTTATTATTAATTTAATTAAATTGAATTAGTCCTTCATATATGAGATATAACTATGATGTAACATACAGGGTGTCCCTCAATGGTCTGTACAAACTTTGTGAATAAGTTCCAGGGAATTAAATAAGCAGAAAATGTCCCACAAACATGAGGTTAGAAACGCTTGCTTCTGGAGTTACAACGATTCGAAGTTTTCCTGCAATAGTTGGAGAAATTATCACGTCAAATCGCATAGGTGTTACAAAACTGTGTTTATGGCTAATGGCAGAGAACGAGATGTAAGAGCTTATGTCGTAGTCATGGACTTAAAGTAAGGCAGAGAAAAACGTATATGCAACTAACGTATATGTTTTTCTTTGTTTTACTTTACGTCCACGACTGCGACAGATGTAAACGCGTATGTCTCATTCTCTGCCATCAGCTTATTTATTTCCTCGGTTTTGCTACGGACATAACAGGACAGTACACTTGCTAAAGAAACGGTTTCTTTAACCACTAAATAGCGTAAAACATGTAAATAAACCAGCTTAAACTTCAAAAACAACGCAGCTCAGCAGAAGCCATTTTGAGTATTTGTTATAGCAAGTGTACTGTCCTGTTATGTCCGTGGTAAAATCGAAGAAATAAATAAACACAGTTTTGTAACACCTATGCGATTTGACGTGATAATTTCTCCAGCTATTGCAGGAAAACTTCGAACCGTCGTAATTCCAGAAGCAAGCGTTTCCAACCCTATGTTTGTGGGACATTTTCTGTTTGTTTAGGAACTTATTCACAAAGTTTGTACAGACCATTCAGGGACACCCTGTATATTACATTAAGATATATTACAATATAACATATGACATATATGTTATTTTAGAAGAAAATTGTAATTAACTTACTGATAATATTGTTATTTAGCACGTGTAATAATCAATTTTGTTGCATTTATATAACATTAATAAAAGTAAGCGCAAATCTTGTGCAATTTCTGCTGTCAATTTGCCATCAGGTCGCATGCGCAGATTTCTGCTCGGTTTCTGCTAATAATCTAACATCAAATTGCACGCGCAGATCCTGCTAGGTTTCTGTCAACAGTTTATTGACAGGTTATGTTTTAGACTCTATCGCCAAAATGAAAGCTTAACGCGGACACAGATGGCTGCGATTCTGTGGGATTCTGATCAAATTTGCTGCCAATCTGCTGTCAACCTGCTAACATTTTGCTTACTGAGCTAATTTGAGGGCAAAATATAATCATATATTACGTAATTATATATCAATGCATATCTTACAACTTGTTCTCGTTCCTTATTTTCAGAATTGGTGTTATACATTTGATCATAGCTTAATCTGGCAATTCCATCGGAATAATTGAAATCTTTATTATTGCTGTTAGAAAGAGATTCTTCTCTGTTGTTGCTATGACTAGAATAACGTGCATTTTTCCTGTTTCCATTTGTATAATTGAAGGAATAATGTTGGTCTTTATTATTTCTCTGATCGTTCCATCGATTCCTTAATATTATTTAATGACATTAATCACTAACATTAATAATATCTATATAAAATACTTTCATACAAGAAAAAAAAAGTTGGATCTTTTGAATAACTCCGAAAATATGCAAAATAGAAAAAAAATTAAATAGAAAAGTTGCAAGATTTTAAGGGACGTATTATATAGTAATATCAGTATGAACAGCGCCGTTACAAGGTTACATGGAAGTATGTAATTTGCAACAGTTACATATCTTTTCTTAAAAACAATTATATTATATTTTTTTACACCAATTAATTCCTCTCATTATTTCGTGCATAAAAGTATTCAGGTAAATTCATCGTAAAATAAATATTTTATAGTTTATATAAAATTAAGAAATTATTTCGTCTTATAACTCGAAAAGTACTTAATGGAAAAATATTTTATTATAGTGTTTTGGAAAACTTTCGAAATAAAGAATATACAATAAAAAATAGGGGTTTCCGTTTAAAAAACAAATTGATTTTATATACATAACCTTGACAACGTTTTAAGATTATACTGATATTATTATATAATGCGATGAAACGTTACAACTTTTGTATTTAACATTTTTTCTATCTTGCATATTTTCAGAGTAATCCAGGATTTTTTATTTTTTTTCCACAATCTGTATATTATTCTCTATTGCATGTTTTCAATAATAGCCACATTTAGCAGACTCAATTGCTAAGTAGCAATCGAACATGATTAGTTTCTACTTTCAGATCCGACTAATCAGCGTCGAATTACATCAGAAAATCTAGTAATGTTGCCCAACTGCTGAGTTCGCTGAATGCGGCCAATGTCGTAAAATCACTACAGAAGGTTATTAGACATGATCTTCATTTCGGTTCCGTGAATTTAGCCGGCCAACTTCTATTTTTTCAATTTTTTTTATAACGAATCATTTGTTGGTCGTTTGTTGGTGACTGTTGGTCTAATTACAGCGTTTGTTAGTTTATATTTTTTTGTAAAATAAAGGGAGTTTTCCAGCAACGACACAGAGCGACACAGCGTATTATTCTATCTTCTTTCAATATCAATAAACAACAAAGATAAAATGATATTCTGTGTCGTTGCTGGAAAGCTCCCATTGAAACAAAATTAGTGTGAAGTTAGCCGGCAAAATTTCATTTTCGTTTAAAAAGCAGTTCAATCGATGTGGAATCGTTTGGGGATGATTGTTGGTCTAATTATAACGTTTATTGGTTCATTATTTGTCTTAAAAACGAAAAATAATCTTACACATTAAGGCTGGATCTTATCTATCAATAGGTATAATAATAAGTCTTTATTATAATATTATCTTTATTATAATAATAAGTCTTTAAATAATCTTTCACATTAAGGCTGGATCTATATCTATCAATAGATATAATAATAAGTCTTAAGAAATTGATCAATCACAGTTGAATGTGAAATAGTAATCGAATGATTGGTTAATTTCTTACGACTTAAGGATTACAATCTAAATTCAGCTTAGGCTGAAGAGAAGGCTTATCGACAGGAAGTTCCTCGAATGCGAGAGAATTAGGCTAATGGGAGAGTACGAGAAATCACATCTGTAATCGTGGATATAAAATAAGATAGGAAAAAACGTAAACTTTTTCTGTCTTATTCCACATCGACGTCTCGTTCTTTATTATCAGCCACAATGTCATCGCGTGGATCGTATGAATTCAAGAGACTGAATAAAATCAGGGTAATGTAAAAGATTTTTATTTCTAATTATTTAGTTACAATAAAAAAGAAAAAAAATTTACGTTCCGGAAAATATATAGAGTGCGAGAGAGGCACTTGTAAGTTATCTGGTTTTTATTTTTATTTTATTATTTTGTACAAGCGCTTTTGTTTTTTAACCGTTATTATTCTTTGCGTTTTATTAGTCGACTGTTTGAATTTGTGTATTTGATCTTTCTATTATTTTGTACTGCGCGCGCTTTTGCAACGTTCGTGTTCTAATTACGTTATGCGATCCATGTAAAACCGGATCTACATTGGTCGTATCATAACGTCGCAAGTCGTAAGTCGTAAGCAAATTGACCAACCATAGTCGATTTCAAAAATAATCAACCATGATTGGTCAATTTGCCTACGACTTACGACTTGCGATTCTTTGCGATGTTACGATACGACCAATGTAGATCCGGCTTAAGACATTGAAAAAAATCCGCATTGGATCGAAACGTACACTGCGCGACAACGATTCGTTCCACGGCCCCTCTCTCACGGGGCAAGGGGAGCGTAGAAGTGACCAATCAGCTGGCAGCGTGGCAGTGGCTGATTGGTTAGAGGCCCCTTGCCCCGCGAGAGGGACCACAGAACGAATTGTTGTCGCGGAGTGTACATCTATCGATATTTTTGTATTCATATTATTTTTTTTTCGACGGATAATGTTTTTATTATTATTAATTATTAAAGAATATATAAATTTTCCGTCCTAGATTCATGTTCTAATTTTAATTACGTAATAATACCCTATGCTACGGTCCTTAACCTTCCTCTTTTATCAAATTCTGATTGTTATCTCACGTTAACTTCTCTTTTGTTTTTAATTCACGCAGGCGATAATTATGCGTTTTCCACAACTCGGTTTTTTTAAATTTATTTCGATACAATTTGACGATAGCATTACACATTTTTTGAAGAAATGGTCGCATACAGTGTTATTATAAAAATCAAAGCAAAAATTTTTTTCTTGAGAGAATGCTTAAAGCGAAATTTAGTTCCACAACATTTACGAACTTTGTACAATCACAATATCTTTTCTTTTAATTGAAAATCTATTACAGCGTATAACAATGTAGCATTGCGTTCCATTAAATGCACATTAAGAATCGAGATTTCAGATTTATTTAAGCATCTGAGATTCTTGCAGACACAGTCTACTTTCTTACGCCCGTTTCTTGTACAGTTCTGTCCTCCATCCTTAATAATTTTTTCAACAAACTGGTTTTTTTCCGTTCTTTCATCAATAAAGAGAGCCTTAGGGTTAAATAATAAATTACAATAGCTATCTACTAAAAGAAAAATCCCTATCACAATTTTGTCTCCTATTAATTATTACTGCACCAATCCTCCTCCTCCCCCTCCTACTGATAATTATAAATTGAAATTAAGATCACATTGTCCCCCTTCCTCTTTCCTCTCCCCTTCCCAATTTTCCTTTTCTCCTATTCCACATCCATCTTCACACTCTTCCTATAATATCCATTTAAATTTTAACAATTTCGCTCCTTCCTATAATTTTTCTTGTTTAAACTCTCCAAATAACAAATGGTTTGTTAATTTATCTTCCATTAACATCTCAAATGAGATTCAATGCCTCCTCCAATTGGGTGATAAGTTCAGCCTTTCCCCCCACAGGAATTTACAACATACAGCCCTTGAATTTATTAAAAATATTGAAATCAATCTCTCTAAATGCAACCTGGTGTTTTCGTCTGAGATTAGAAATCTTTCTGTTAACTTCCTTGAAAGATTCTTATAGCTATCCTCCCCTCCTTCAGTCATGAAACGTCGTCTTTTAAATATGTCACGGCTTTCTAGAAAGTTTCTTTCTGACCATCCTGATCTGATTATTACGAGAGCGGACAAGGGAAACACGATGGTAGCTTTAGACAAAGACACTTTACTTTATGAAAATGAATGATTTGCTGGCGGACTCTAACACCTATATGAGTGTAAAGAAAAATCCAACTAATAAAATTATTAGCAATCTCAGAGATTTGCTTGCAAGGTGGCGTAAGAATGAATTTATTGACTAGTGTTGGTAGGAGTCTCTTGCATAGTGACAGTGTATTGCCCCGTGTGTATGGGCTGCCAAAAATCCATAAAACGAATTATTCTTTACGTATAATTATTTCATCCATTAATAGTCCATTACATTCTTTTGCCACGTACACAATATTTTGTATGAAAACATTCCTAAGCCTAATAGTTATATCTCCAATAGTTTTGAATTAGTTAATAGGCTAAAAAATTTTTATGTAAATGAACACTTAAAATTAATTTTATTAAATGCTATCAATCTTTTCACGAATGTCTCTTACGACTTAATTATTGGAGGTTGTTGAAATTCAAGATACGATTATACTATTTCAATCCTCATCGCTATCTTATAAATTCCATCTGTATTTATTTTCTTGTCCGTACCGACGCGCTTTAGGCTTCCCGTATCGCGACCATCGATTATTCTCTCATTCATTCGCAGACCGTCGCGATAATAACACGAGATGTATACGAGTCTAATAAAAGCTTATTACGAGATATACGTCCGACTTAGTTCAACTACTTTATTTTTCCTGCGCCAGCAAGTTATGGGCCCAGACGGAAAACCGTTTAAATAATGACGGCTAAAGTAGAATTGTGTAACAATATACCCCAATAGCCAAGTCTGCTAAAGCAGATCTTGTCAGGGAATCTGTTAGAAATTGTTGTCGACAGAAAGATTACAGAATCGATGCAGGTTCTGATATATCATGTGATGTCGCCAGAATGTCAACAGAAATATAACAAAGCTTGTTAACATAATCAGTTACCAGATTGGCAGCAAAAATCGAACAGATTCTGCCGGCATAACTTAGTGGCAGATTGGTGGCAGAAATTGAACAGGATCTGTGCGATGCAATTTGACAACAGATTGTCGGCAAAAATCGAACAGGATCTGCGCATACAATCTCTGATAGCAGATTGATGGCAGAAATGGAACAGGATTTGCATGATTCGATAGTTCTTTCACTTACCGCTACGTGAGCTGTACTTTCTCGTAATTGAATTTCTGTCAGAAATATATATAAAGTCACGAATATGAATAAAAGACTAAAAATATAGTAATTATCATTTTAATTTTTCACTTTAATTTCTGATATCTGATACAAGCAAATGAGAGTCAGAATTCAGAATATTAAACTGATTGGAATCAATATAATATATGGAAAATTATTCATGCACTGGCTATTTGAGGCATAAAGCAAGAATTTAATTCTAAATAAAT